GTTTGTTTAAGCAAGGTATGACATCTTTTATGAAATAACTGTATGAGGAAGAGGGCGTTTATTGGGCAATCCTCTTTTTTTTACTCTGGAATAAAACCTTCCTTAGAATCAAGAGTCCCACCTATCATTCATTGACTACAATTAAATACTAGAAGGATAGAAAAAGCTCTCTTCTGTGTAGTTTTGTCTTTTCCAGCATTAAAAACCATTAAACTTTTATTTTACGTTGATGGAAAGATTATCAGTAGGGATCTGTGGTCCTCTGATCAGGGGTTGGCAGTTCAAAGACTGAAAAGGTAGGTTTCCTACATTTTCAATTTGTTAAAAGCATCACAATTACAACCCAAACCAATTTTTATCATATCACATCAAACAGCAGTATTTACGTCAAAGCACTGTTTTTAAACTTAATTGAAGATCAGATTATATTAGGAACAGGGGTCAATTGGGTAGGTCCTTCATTCTCTGTTAATTCAGAGCTGCTGCCTTTTGCAAAGAACCTGGAAGACATTTTTCTACTAGTCCTTCATATTTCCTTAAAGGGAAATCTGTAAAAGCAAGGACATCTCTAAGGATAGGAGCCAATTTCAAATTTAGACTATAATCCAGACTAATTACACCAGCATATATTAAGCAGGACTTCTATACTGGATAACTTCATCTGTAAAAATTAGAAGAATTGTCCTCTGTTATACCATCCTTCCGACTCACGGCTGTTTTCCTAAAAGCCCAGGGCCTGCCTCTTTCATTTCTACAAGAACCGTGTCAAGAAATTACTGTCCAGCCAAATCTGGGCTGAATATTTTTAGGAATTCGGTCAAACACAACCAATCGCACCAGAACATCTTTTCTCCATCTCTCTTCTTATACACCTATAACTAGTTTGTTTTGTTTTAGGCCGACGCCAATAGCTTGAAGAACTTCCTCTCAGCAGCGCGCTTGGCCGACCGAGGGAGTGACACCAGCAGCCTTCCTCTGTCCACGCTTACTCCCGTTCGTGCCAGAGATGTGGAACAGCCAAAGAAGAAGCTTTCGGTCATGTCCAAAAAGGATTATCCTCTCACCTCCAACTTCCCTTATTCTCTGGAGCAGTTGCAGGTGTCTTACTGCAAACTGTCACGGGTGGACATGCGCATGCTGTCGCTCAAAGGTACATCTATCATGTGTTAAGTGATGCTCATGTTGTTTAAAATTTAAACAAGTTATCAAAGATTGTATCTCTCAGACCTGTGCAAAAATGGCATAGGTGTAATAAAACCCCTTAGAGGTTAGTTACAATATAAATAGCAGCATAAAGATCAACGCCCACGCGGGTTTTAAAATAATTACTCTTATCTTTAATCATCTCGAGCTCTGTTATAATCGTCATCTTAAACAGCTCTAGAAATCCACATGACAGATGGATGACGATTATTAGTCAGGAACTCCTGATTAGATGAGACTAAATATAAGTTTTTTGGCCTTGATGCAAAATGCTGTGTGTTTCTAAAAATAAAAAGTTGCCGTTAATACACGATCCTAACTCTGAAGCACAGTAATGGCATCATCAGGCTGTGGGGATGTTTTTATCCAGCATAGAAAAAAGCATCAACTGACAGGACAGGAGGACAATGATTATAAAGATCTAAATAGAACTGACTGACCTATATGGTTACACTTGAGAATAACTGTCAGCTATAAATGGTATAGTGGCCATTTATTAATGATTAGCATTTTATTAATGTTTGATTCATTTATAAACTGCACATAAACCATTTATTCAAAGTAAATAGATCATTTGTTAAGGTATTAAGTCCAGTAATGTTAGTGTTATAGGGCTTAGCTAACATGGCAGGGCAATATGATCCTTTTACCTTCTAGAAATGGCTTATATTCAGTTTATAAAAGATAATAAACTATCTCTTAATCGTTCATAAATGGTCTATTTACCTTTTATTAATGATGGTTATTGTAATAAAGCATTCTCATGAGTTTAAAATGGCCTAATCAAAGTCAAACTTAAATTCAACATCATAGAGATGTAAACAATTTTAAAATACTTAAAGCTGTAGTTTCTCCAACATGTCACATTACAGGGGAATAAACAAAGGTTTTCCACATTGTGGTTTTATTTGTAAAAATTAAAGCATTTATCTTTATCCTCCGAAAGAAAAAATTTGTATTCTTTGTAACATAAACTCTAAGCAGCCTGTTTACAGTACAATGCTGATCGTGTGTCTCTTCTTTTCTGCGTAGCTCTACGCAAGCTGGACCTGAGCAACAACCACATCAAGAAACTCCCTGCCACCATCGGCGACCTGAGCTGCCTCTCTGAACTCATCCTTCACAACAACCATCTGGAGGCCTTCAGTGAAGCCCTGTGCTTGTCCACGTTGCAGCAGACCCTGCAGGTCCTGGACCTGAGCCAGAACCGGCTGCAGTCGCTGCCCGCCCGGTTCTGTCAGCTCAGAGAACTGATAAACCTCAAGCTGGATGACAATAAGCTTGTAGGCCTGCCGTTACAAATCGGCCGCCTCTCAAAGTTGAGGTTCCTGTCTGCTGCGCACAACCAGCTGATTGTTCTGCCAACAGACTTCTTCAAGCTGAGTCTTGAGAACTTGGACCTGTTTGGAAATCCGTTTATCCAGCCCAACCCTTTGGACCACACCATGAAACTTTCCTTCCCTCTTCCACTACAGGAGATCGCCTCCAGAGCTGTAGCTGATCTCAGGTCAGATTAGAAATTCCAATATTTTGTTGTTTTTTTCGTTTCCAAACCAGATAAACCGTTTATCCTCTCCCTTTATGCCCCCCAGAATCCCGTACGGCCCTCACCTCATCCCCGCCCACTTGTGTGGAGACCTCGAAGCAGCCAAGACGTGCGAGTGTGGCCGCGTCTGCATCAGCTTCTACATAAAGACGGCCGTGAGCATGAACCTGCACCAAGTGTCTCACACGGTGGTGTTGGTGGACGACATGGGAGGCACGGATGCTCCGGTGCAGCAGCACTTTTGCTCTCTCTCTTGTTACTCTGAGTTTTTAGACAGCTGTCTTCAGCGAGGCCTGAGATGAGGAAAACCACAGAACATTTTATCTTCAGCATTCAAAGATTACAGTGGAGGTAGCAGCAGATGTTACGTTGGTGGGGAGAATTGAAGAGGCAGCTGCGGAAGTCAGAACCACGGACCAGTGTTTTTTTGTTTTTATTTTTTTTATACTTCATTTCCTTTGTTTACATTAAGCGTAGAACTTTCTCAGTTCACATCAGAGTAGGGATGACTGTTTAGAACGATGCAATAACGCTGCACTTGCTGCTGAATCTTTAGCAGGCTCTTTTTCTCCTTTTTATGAGACTTGATGTTCCTCTACTGACCTACATTGCTAAGACAGGGGAATAAGGAAATAAGAACAGCGCCTCAGGGTCCACAAAGCAGCACCGGGGGGAATCAGTTATTATTAGAGATGCACTGATTCTGGCCAATTCCAGTTTGGAAAGATTCCTAAAACATAAGTAAGGAAAGCAAATGTGCTGCAGGTTCTTAATGAATGTAGGAGTGCTGAACTCCTCAGAAAACAATAGATGCATTAAAGCATCTATTCCTACCATTGAAATGATTTTCACTAAAAATCGAAAAAGTGCCTCAAAGTACATGACCATAGCTTTTGTGTTTAGAGACTAAAAAATGGGCTGATTTCTTCTTTTTGATCCATTTTTAGTAGTCATATTTTTCCACCCTCGACCCTCTGATTGGACGCTTTCAGTATTTGAACACCTGATGCATCTACATTTCTTATGCTTGTAAAGTTTGTCATATATTTTTAAATACATAAAGAATAAAAACTTTCATTGTTATGTATTTTGTATTTCATTCTTAAACCTTTGGATTATTTTTGGGGGGGTGGGAATATTGATAAATGGGAGTTAAATCATTTTATGGCTTCTAATTTTTGTGCCATTCATTTGCCAAATGAAATCACTGTAAAAATTAATCCAAACTTTTCAAGTAAACACTTCTGTAGCTTTTAAATTTATTTATCTTCAGTCCCCCCAAATTTGATCAGAAATCAGTCAGATGGTTTTGTAAACTCTTTAACATTTAGAAAAGAACCACAATGACGCTGTATAATTCTCAAAATTTAATCAGAATAAACAAATAAAGAAACATTTATCTAAGACAAAGAGTCTAATTAGCCACACCAATAGCTATTTACTAACCTTGTAGGAGAAACATGAAAGGAACGAGCCTTTATCTAAGCCATAAAAGTAATCAAACTAAACACTATTTAGATGGATTAGTTTCTAAGTCTTTAAGAAACCGAAACAACGAACATTACAGCTTCTATAAGTACTAGGAACCTCCGCTTTCAGCTCCACTTCCTCTGAAAGAGAACCTTGCTGAAATGTGCAGCTCTAGATTCTATTGAGGCGTATTTGAGTAAAGGGGCTGATAGTACTAATACATGCTACACATTTCCATTATATTTACTACACTTCTGCACTACTTTATGTAGGTCTGATATGTGATCTATTTTGCTTGCATAGAACCGTCTATGATCTCTGAAAGTAGAGGGGTGAAACTGCTGGGTAAGATGAAGGGTTCATTTTGTATGAAGGATGAAAGGGAAAAAAAAACAACATTTGTGGTCGATCCAATAAATGTGTCCTTGTCATTTTTCCACCTCAGCAACCAACTTACTGTCTGTTGTAAGGAAATATGGTTATAGAACTCCAATATATTATATCTGATGTTTAGGATCTTTAACATCCTCTAAATGTGTTTCTGAGTTGTCATAGATAAGCATGTTAAAAAGGAGTGATGGTAACTGGCTGCCTTTATGTTTATGTCATTGTTATCGATGACTTATAGTATAATAGTATTCATGACAAATATCCATTTGTCATGAATACTGTTATTAGATATCTATTATTTTACCAACTTTGCAATGAAACTGATAAATCCCATCAAACAAATGCATATTTTCACTTCACATTCTCACTCAAACATCTTGAGTCATTTAAACAGAAAAAAAACCCAAAGGATTCTGCATCAAATTCCTTCATTCCCTGTAAAACACAGAGCATCAGTCCAGTTCATACATAATTTTGTTCTGGAAAATAAAACCAGCAGATGTGGAGTGATCATTGATCAGGGTCTCTTTTCCATCGGCATCGATTTCCCTCAGCATCACGGCTGCTGGTGGATCGTTGTTCTTCTCCGACGTCTGGGCAGCTGGAGGTGCTGGCAGGTCATCTTCATCTGTTTCCTTTCCTTTTTCCACTGCAGCTGTGATAAAAGCCTGGCTGGACTCCACCGACCTCCCAGAGAGGCAGGCTTCCCCCACACTGCTCTCAGTTGGAGGGAAAGACACTTCAGGAGAAATCTGGGGTTCTCCAAAGGATGGAAGTAGCTGAAGAGAAGCACCTTGTTCATCCTGATGCAGAAAAGGAAGATGAAAAATTAAATAACAGGTTTTTTGTTCCTAAAATCACGTCATTAGAAACTCCTCAAAAGAAACTGAGATATTAACATGTGAAAGACACCCAGCCTAAAGGTTTCACGCTTCACTATTACTGTACACAAGATAACCTGAGCTGGTTTAATATGACCCAGGAAAAGGCAGACCTATTGCTCTGCTTTGGATTATTGTCTCGTCGTGTTCAAGGTTCCGTTATTCTGCAAGTCATCCAAGCTTGGAAGCAGTCCCTGATCATCACGCTACCACCACCGTGCTCGTCCATAGCTACAATGTTCTGTTTCTGACATGCTCTGTTAGATTTACACCAGATTTAAAACCACTCTAACTCTACAGGTCTGGCAGTGAATAGGCCTCAATCTGCCAAGGGAAACTGAACCAAATATTTTAGTTGATCTCAGCTAATTATGATTTAACAAGATGGGCGTATTGTGTTTTCATATGTGGTCAGGTTTGTCAAGTTTCCTGTTTGAAAACTTGCCTTATTTTCCCTAAGATAGACCATGTCTGACATCATTCCTTTTTTATGTAAAAAAAAAAAAAAATAACCTCAAATCTTTTGTTTATTCTCAAACGCAGAAGAAATACGTGAGGAGGCCCTGTATATATGTGCTCAGTGGGCAGGCTAATTTCTATTAGAAATCCAAGTAATAAAAAATTCATTTTTCAATTGATAATGTTATTCCAAAAAATAAATATACATTTTTCATGGCTTCCATACTGATGGAAGCCATGTTGGTTTTTTGGGACATGGTTGGTGTGAATCCACAAATGTTCCACTTTTCCCCCTAACTTTAAACATAGGAAATTCTTATCATATAAAATAGGGATTGTTTTTATTTCTTGCTCCGGTATCAGCCGATATGAGCTACGTTCATTGGTCCATTTATCAGCCTTTCCAAAGGACATGCATTGCAGCTCCCTCCAATGCTCTCCATTATTTTGTTGCTAAAAGTTTCTTCTTTGTAAAAACTGAGACTTGTGTCTTTTTATCATGAAAAGGCAATATGGGTTCAATTGTCAGCAACCCATGTTGGGAACTGGTTAGATTGCTGTCAAAACAGTTTGTATCAGCACTGATCTTTAAAAGAACCTGCATCAGTTGATCTATTTAATTATTATACGCTATATCAATGGTTTCAATTCCGAGTAAAATTGTAAGAGTGATTAATCTATGCTCAAACCAAACATGCAGCATCTTATAATTTCATAATTTTCATTACATTAGAAACAGAAAATATCTAAATCTTGATATTGATTATTTAAAACATGACAGTGTGATGCTTCTTGTCACAGAAATGTTTGAGAAACAATGTCTTAGAATGGATCCTATAAGTATATATTCTTTTTTTTTTTACCTTTCCAGTTCCCTCCCGGTCATCAAAAGATGTTATATTGGATGTAGATTCCAAACTTGTGCTTGGCCTAACTTCTTTGTTATCTTCTGAGTCAATGGTCTGTTTGTCAGATATTAACACTTCCTGATTTTCAGTAAAGGTCGATGCTATTTTGACAGCTACAGTTTCTGGAGCATGAACTCCTGTTTTCCTAACAGGTTCATCTTCTATCTGATCTTTAGCCACAGCTGATCTCTCCTCAGTACTTTGGCTTTTAGTTTCCTGTATTGTCTTTGGCCCAGCTTCCTCCTCATTGCTCACTTGTAAACTCTCTTGCTTTGGAAGCTCTGTTCCTGTTTTTTCCTCCTCTGTTTCATGCTGTTCTCTCTTTATTTGCTGATCATTTCCTCCACTTTTCTGTTCCTCATCACAGTTTTTGACCAGTCCTTTTTCCTGATTCCTTTCCGCCTGTTCATATGATTTAACCTCTTCCTTGTTCTTCTCATAAACCTCTTGTTCGGTTTGTTCCTCTTCAACCTCACTTTGCTCTGCTTGACTCTCGCTATCTTTCTTGAGTCCATCATGATGACGGAGAGCGTCATCAGGTGGACGGACCGGCAGGGTCACACTGAGCTTTCCTGTGTGTTTGTTGAACTTGGCCTCTCCTTGGTCTTCATCCACGGGATAAGCTAAAGGGAGATACAGTTTGTAGGCTGGTTGTTTGGACTCCAGCAGCAGACTTTTCTCCTTTACCTCAAGGTTAGTGTCTCTGACTGACGTCAGGAGTGGCAGGTCAATAGTGATCAGAATTTCTTTAGGCCTGGGGCTCTGCACAGAGTCTCTAGAACATCTGAAATCCTGTAAATCCACCATAGATCGATATTTTACGGTGTAGTTTGGCTTAACCGGATCCTGGTTCTTCTGTGATTGGAACTGGAAGCTCTGGTTTTGAGCGGCTCTGTTGTCTGTTAATGCCAGATCCTCAGGGGTACTGTTCTGGGGATTGAATCCAGGTATGGGTCTTCGGATGACACATGGCTGAGGGGTACCCTTGTATTTTGTCTTCATTTCCTTCACCTTATTTTTGTCTAGATGTACTTTAAATGCTCGTTGGACTCCATCAATAGCAGCATCGTAGACCATTTCCATGAATGCTTTGTTTTTAGAGGCCATGTGCAGCGTGTCAGGGTGGAAAATAACATCATAGATCACATATGTGTTGCCTTTAGTGTCTCTGTCTGTCCTCCCTGGTTGAAGACTGTGAGGCAGGCTCCAACACTGCCCCCTGCGGCCATCCTCTGACACAGCACTCTTTGCCTGGGGTGTGTGGATCTTGTCATTGGCGCAGATGTTGATGAAGCATTTCTGCTTTGCAGCGTTGCTGATTCTGATCACCCTGAAAGGGGAAGGCTGGATGAACTCCACTGTGTTTCCTCTCTCCTGCTCCCACTGTTGGATTTCCTCCTCGTATTTTCTCATGTTCTCAGGGTCAGACATATCTTGGACGTATTCACGCAACATCTCCCTAAATTTACCGTCTTTGAAGGCGTTGGTAATTCTTCCCATTTCCTCTGATGACAAGTTTAACTCTTTGAGCTTCTCTCCGATCTCCATTTTCTTATATATTGAGAAACAGATCAGTTTCAGTTCAAATTCATTAGTAAACACGATCTATAAAACAAAGTGCCGTCTTTAATTGAGTCCTACAAGCTAGAAACATAGAAAAACGGTCTTAACTGTTGTTTATGTCACCATGGTAACACAGAGGCGCCCAATCAAAAGAGGAAGGTGGGCAGGGGGCGGGGCTAAGATGACCATCATATTGCAGTGAATAATGTGTAAAAACCACTTAAACTCTATACTCGTCATTTATGTAACTCTGTTTATTGATTTTTTACTTTGTCCTGGTTGAAAATACTGAAGTTACAAGAAATTAAGTAACTTTTCAGTAGAGCGTAAAAATGCAAAGAAAGCAAAAGATGAGAGAAATATAGCCAGAGGTGGTAAATATTAGTTAGCCGACATTTACTCAGTTAGATTAACTTGAGTAAATATTTGAAAAAAATGAATACTTTTTATGTGCAGTTTTACACGATTGTACTTTTTACTCTTGCTGGAGTTAAATTTATAGCTATTCTATCTACTACGAACAGAATAGAAAACAACAGAATAGACTAGACTAGAATAGAATAGAATAGAATAGAATAGAATAGAATAGAATAGAATAGAATAGAATAGAATAGAACAGAACAGAATAGACTAGATAAGAAGACAATAGAACAGAATAGACTAGAATAGAACAGAATAGACTAGATAAGAATAGAACAGAATAGAATAGAACAGAATAGAATAGAATAGAGCAGACTAGAATAGAATACTCTAGAATAGAATAGAACAGAATAGAATACACTGGAATAGAATAGACTAGACTAGAATAGAAGAGAACATAATAGAATAGAATAGAATAGAATAGAATAGAATAGAATAGAACAGAATAGAATAAAATAAAACAGAATAGAATAGACTAGATAAGAATAGAATAGAATAGAATACAACAGAATAAACTAGACTAGATAAGAAGACAATAGAACAGAATAAAATAGAATAAAACAAATCAGAACAGAATAGACTAGATAAGAAGACAATAGAACAGAATAGAATAGACTAGAATAGAACAGAATAGAATAGAACAGAATAGACTAGACTAGAATAGAATAGAGCAGACTAGAATAGAATAGAACAGAATAGAATACACTGGAATAGAATAGAATAGACTAGAATAGAATAGAATAGAAAATCCCTCTATTGTCCCACATTGGGAACTGCTGGTGGTTACAGCAGCAAAAGATTATAGCAAAAGTAGTAACACAAATATAGACCTTAAAAATGTATTAAAAAAAACAGAATAAGTGACAGAAATACAAAAATAAACAAATAAAATACTGTTCTGTACAGCGTTTTTACAAATAAAAATACAGTGCACCTAGAGCATAAATAATCAATATACAGCTGTAGATATTAATAGACAGTAATAGATCTGTGAATAATAGCAGCAACACTAGAGATTTGCAAAAATGACAGCAGGGTGTTACTTAAGTGACCAAGACAGAAACTGCAACAATCAGCATGAATGTAAAAACTTGTTGATAGTGATAACAGTGATAGCAACTTTACTTGACAAAAACAAGCTGGTTTTAAACAAATATGCGCTATTAATAGACACTTTCTTCTTATTTAAATTGAAGGCTTATTGTTTGAACATAATTTTCCGTCTTCTGAGTCTGCCTTGTCATTTAAAGGTTGAGTGAACATATTAGTACACTGTAATTTCACCTACTCTACATAGAGTAACTATTGATTTTTAGTTTTACAACAAAAAAAGGTATTTTGAAGCTTCCAGCTGAATTCTCTATTGTGTAACTAAGTTCAATTCAATTCAATTCAATTCAGTTTATTTATATAGCGCCAAATTCACAACACATGTCATCTCAAGGCACTTTACAGTTCAACCAGATCATACAGTCAAATTGATACAAAGTTTTCTATCTAAGGAAAACCAGTTGATTGCATTGACTCATTGACTCAAATACAATCCCCCACACTAAGCATGCTTGTAGCGACAGTGGAGAGGAAAAACTCCCTTTTAACAGGAAGAAACCTCCAGCAGAACCAGGCTCAGTGTGAGCGGCCATCTGCCGAGGCCGACTGGGGTTCAAGGAGACAGAAGCAGAGATACAAAAAGCAGCTGTAAAAGGCGGCCCCGTCCAGGAAACACACAGCCAGGCAGACGAGCTCCAAGGCAGCTCCCATGCCAGAGGACGAAGAGAGCACATCCACTCAGTCACGGTCAGAGAAACAGGACCACACTGGAAAACAGGCCGATCTCCAACATCTATTAACAAGGGTGTTGATAGAAGCAGCACAGCTGATGTTTTTTTCCAGGATGACGTCACAGCCAAACAGGAACAGACGAGGCAAAGCTACTCTGAGGAAAAGCAGAGAGAGCAGAAGGTTAGAGATTGAACTAACAGATTCTGCAGAATAGGAGAACAGAGAGAGAATGAAGCAGAATGATGAAATGGGGGTCCCTATGTCCTCCAAAAGTCTAAGCCTATAGCAGCATAACTATAGAGATAGCTCAGGATAACCTGAGCCACCCTAACTATAAGCTTTATCAAAAATGAAAGTTTTAAGCCTAGCCTTAAAAGTAGACAGGGTGTCTGCCTCACGGACTAAAACTGGTAGTTGGTTCCACAGGAGAGGAGCCTGATAACTAAAAGATCTGCCTCCCATTCTACTTTTAGAAATTCTAGGAACGATTAGTAAACCTGCAGATTGAGAGCGAAGTGCTCTGTTAGGAACATAAGGAACAATCAGATCTCTGATATAAGATGGAGCTTGGCCATTTAAGGCTTTATATGTGAGAAGGAGGATTTTAAATTCTATTCTTGATTTAACAGGAAGCCAATGAAGAGAAGCCAGGATAGGCGAGATATGATCTCTCTTTTTAATTTTCATTAGAACTCTGGCTGCAGCATTTTGGATCAGCTGAAGGCTTTTAACTACAGTTTGTGGACTTCCTGATAGTAAAGAATTACAATAGTCCAGCCTTGAAGTAACAAATGCATGGACTAGTTTCTCAGCATCACCCCTGGACAGGATATTTCTAATTTTTGCAATGTTCCTCAGATGAAAGAAGGAAATTCTAGAAACCTCTTTGATATGGGATTTAAATGACAGGTCCTGATCAAAAATAACACCAAGATTTTTTACTTTATTATCTGAAATCAGTTTAATCCCATCCAAATGAAGTGACTGGCTAATCAGTTTCTTTTTCAGAGACTCTGGTCCAAAGACTATAACTTCTGTTTTGTCTGCATTCAGAAGCAGAAAATTAAGAGTCATCCAGGTTTTTATGTCTTCAAGACATGCCTGTAATCTATGTAATGGGTTAGCTTCATCTGGATTTATAGACAGATATAGCTGGGTATCATCAGCGTAACAGTGGAAATTAATCCCATGCTGTCTAATAATTCTACCAATTGGGAGCATGTATAAAGTAAAGAGAATTGGTCCTAGCACTGATCCCTGTGGTACTCCACAGGTAACCTTTGAGCGTGTTGAAGATCTATCATTAACATGAACAAACTGAATTCGATCAGATAGATAAGATTTAAACCAGTCTAGTGCTGTTCCTTTAATTCCAACAAAATATTCAAGTCTTTCTAAAAGAATATTATGGTCAACTGTATCAAATGCAGCACTAAGATCCAACAGGACGAGCACAGATACAAGTCCATTATCTGAGGCCATGAGAATATCATTAGTGACTTTCACCAGAGCTGTTTCAGTGCTATGATGAGCTCTAAAGCCAGACTGAAACTCTTCAAAAAGTTCATTATGGTGGAAGTGATCGCAAACTTGTTTGGCAACTACTTTCTCAAGAATTTTGGATAAGAAAGGAAGATTGGATATAGGTCTATAATTGACCAAGTCATCTGGGTCAAGAGACGGTTTCTTAAGCAGAGGTTTAATTACAGCAATCTTAAAAGCTTTAGGTACATATCCCTGTAACAGAGATAGATTAATCACATCTAAAATGGAGGAGGAGATCAAAGGGAATACCTCCTTAAATAACCTGATTGGAACTGGATCTAACATACAAGTTGAAGGCTTAGATGAAGACAATAATTTTGCTAATTCAGAGAGTTCAACTGGATCAAAGCAGTCTAAACCCGGTTCAGATTCCATGACTACCTCAGGTACAATCGCGGATAGAGGAGTGCTTATGATCTTATTTTTAATAAGATCAATCTTATTTATAAAGAATCCCATAAAATCATTGCTGCTAAGAGCAGGTGGAATGGACGGTTCAACAGAGCTATGGCTCTCAGTTATATGTTTAATTTGATCGTATTCTTTGAGACACCAGAATTTTCATATATAATATTTTTGTTCAATTTTACATAATTTTATAAAACATTAAATCAGTCAGTTAGTCATAGTGAGTAGATCAGTTAACCTTTTTACCAAATACTTTTTTTTACTCTTAATTTAGTAATTTCTTTAAAGGTTACTTTATACTTTTACTTTAGTAAAAAAATATGATGAAGTAGTGCTACTCTTACTTAAATAAAATTTTTGGACACCCTACCCACCTCTGGAAAGAGCTAAGTTGAATTATTTGAAGCCAAACTCAAATGTGCAACAGCTGATCAAAAGTTTATGCAAAAAAAAAAAAAAAAAAAAAAAAAAAAAAAACAAAGACAAAAAAACAAAAGTTTTAGAAGAAATAGTTTATAATAATTTATCTTCATAACAATGAAGGAATTTACAAGATATTCTTTTCAGTTTTTCATTGCTTGTGAAATTCAATTAAAAAAGTTTTATCTATATTTATAAACTTGGCATCTCTTTTCAGTTGTAGATAGTGATGACCTGCTATGGACAGCAGAGGTCGCTGTGGATCAAATTTGTGGCATTCGTCCAGTGAGCGTGTCTGTTAGTGAGGCAGGTGGGCGGGGTGCAGGGAAGAGCGCTGATTGGTCGCGCCCCCAGCAGTTCAGTTTTTCCGGGATGTGATTGGATGACGGTGTATTTAATGAGCGTGAAACCAGCGCTGATCAATGTGAGACAGCGAAACAAAGGAAGAGTTTAATCTGGTATTTTACCTTTGTGGAAATTATCCTTTCTCGAATTATCTATTTGATGTCTTTTTACATTTGTTCTGGGTAAATATATAATTGTTAATCAA